TAAGTAAAAATTATAAAAGGTAAGTCAGTGCAAACTGTTTTTTCCCCTCCTATACTCCATACTCCCAGCTCCCACCCTCCTCCTGGCCTGTGATCACTGTTAGTAGCATTTTGTGTGTCCTTCAGACTTAATTTAAGCAGATGTTTTTCTTCCTTTTCCCGAAAAGCATACAGTTCACACTGTTTTGTGCCTTTTCTTTTTTTTCCTTCAACAGTATTTCTTGGCCATCTTTCCATATCCGTACATAAGAGAGTTCATCTTTCCCCTAACTGCATGACATTTCTTTGTTCAGATAACAAGCACTGTAGCAAGGAATAACCTTGTACATAATCATTTCACACACAAGTGTATCTGTAGGATAAATTTCCAGGAGACTCTCTTTGACAAAAAGTATACACATTTATAATTTTGATATTGCCAAATTGACTTCCATAGAGATTGTTCCAGTGTACATGCCCCCAGGTAACTTCTGAGAGAGCCCAGGTACTAATTTTGATTTGGTTTCCAAGATGACTGCTCTAGGCTTTCCTGTATAAGATACCACAACATGTATATTGTAGTTGACACCCCAGTAGCTAGTCCCTTAACCACTCCTCCGCCCCTGTTAAGGACTGCCTCCTTATGGCTTAAGGGAGACTGACTCTAGGGGAGACATCTTTTGCCCCTCCAGACCCCCTTTACTGTTCTCTTCTGCCTTGGGGAGGCAGTCTTCAACTGAGAACTTCATGCTGTTTCCCAGACTTATTTGCAAAGTCACATCTCGATGCCCTTGCCCATATTGTTCCCACCTCCTGCCCTGCCCTCCCACCCTTTTCAATCTGGAAAGTTCTGACTCCTCCTTTAAGACTCAGCTTAAGTGTTGCCTCTGCGGAGGCCTCTCTGACAGAACTGGTCACTGCCTCCCTCCTCTGAGTGGTACCACAGAACTCAGGTCAGTTTGCCCTTAGAGCACATTTGGATCACCAGGTGGGGTAACTTTGTTTACTAGGCTCTGTCTCTCCCAGCACCCAGCCCAGGTCAGGTCCACACTTCAAACTCCTCTGTAACTAAAATTAAACTCACTGGAGAGGCAGGATGGCATGGAAAGGCATGGAAGATGTGGGAGTCAGACTGGATATGACTCCATCCTTTGTCCTCTTCCCACCTCACTCTCCCTCATTCTCTGTGCTCTAAACCACACTGGCCCACACTCCTTTCCCACTTCATGTCCCTTCACGTGCCGTTCCAGTTGCTCTTCCCCTGGTTTCCTCGTCTTTCATTGCCCAGCTTAATCTTACTCCCTAAGAGAGGCCCTCCATGGCTGCTGAGCCTAAAAGCACACCCCCTTCCCATTCTATCATTCTGTAGTCATTCCCTTCATCGATTGACCATGATCTTAGTTCTTACGTTGATTTGTTTACCAGTTTGCTGCATGTCCTCCCCCATCAGACCGTCAAGTCCTTGAGGGCAAAGACCTTGGCTTATTCACTGCCACGGGTCCAGGGCTAACACAGGAGCTGGCACATGTTAGGCACAACGAAAATCTTTATCAACTGAATGATGAATGAATGAACAAATGAACAGGTCCAAACCCCCTCTCCATCACTTCCCTAGCTTTGTCCTTGGATTAATTACTCTCTCAGAAGGGTTCCTCATTTGAAGATCAGAAATTTCAGGTAGTAATGTGTACTGGTGACTGTATAAAATGCCTGATACATGAAGAGTTTCCATAAATGGTAGCTATCCCTTGTTTTTCTTTCCTTCACCTGAAAAATTCATCCTTTTTGCCACGCTTAAAGACCTTGTACATCTTTACAAAGAATTTTTTATTGAGGTGTAGCAAATGTATAGAAAGAACACATATCAATTTCTACACACACATACACATACATATATACATACCCATGTAACCACCTCCCAAATTAAATAGAACATTCCAACACCCAGGTAAGTTTCCATGTTAGCCTCCCCCCAACCAATGTCACCTATTCTTTCCCTCCTCTCTTTGATCTGAGATCATGGCATGTCCATTCCTCCTTCAAACTCTTTGACTCATTTCTGCCCCCATTCCTCTCTTCTAAAAATTCTAGGTCTTTTGACCTTTCCTACCACCAAGCCAGAGTTTCTTAAAGTAGAGGACGTGCAACCTAGTCAGGTGCAAGATGATGCCTGCAATTCTACTCTTAGGTATATGCCTGAAAGAACTGAAATTAGGTACTCCAACACTACATGTATACGCATGCTCACAGCAACACTATTCACAATAGCCTAAAGATGGAAACAGCCCAAATGTCTATCAACCAATTGTGTATGGTGGAATATTATTCAGTCATAAAAAGGAATGGATTCATGCTGCCACGTGGATGAACCTTGAGAACATATGCTAAGTAAAAAGAACCAGACACAAATGGTCACATGTTGTATGATTCCATTTATATGAAATATCCAGAAAAGATAAATCCTCAGTTATAGAATGCATCTTGGTGGTTGTCAGGGGGTGGGTGGGAATGGGATGGGGAGAAACTGCTCAATGAGTAAAGGGTTTTGCTTTGGAGTGATGGAAATATTTTGGAACTAGAAGTGGTGATTGCAGGGGCGCCTGGGTGGCTCAGTCATTAAGCGTCTGCCTTCGGCTCAGGTCGTGATCCCAGGGTGCTGGGATCAAGCCCCGCCATTGGGCTCCCTGCTGGGCGGGAAGCCTGCTTCTCCAACTCCCACTCCCCCTGCTTGTGTTCCTGTTCTCACTATCTCTCTCTCTGTCAAATAAATAAATAAAATCTTAAAAAAAAAAAAAAGCGGTGATTGCACAATACTGTGAACATATTAAATGCTACTGAATTGTTCACTTTAAAATGGTTAAGTTTATGTTATGTGAGTTTCACCTAGATAAACTATTTTTGAAAAAAATGAAATAGCCACTCTTACTTGTCAGCTGAGAGGTTTGAATGAAGCACAGTTTCCCCAAGTGAAGTGTGGGCAAATAGCAGCTGGGGGCCACCGAAGGAAGAAAGGGCCTGGGGGTCAGCAAGTGTGGTTTTGTTGCTCTAACGTAAGTAGTAATGATATTATGAGAAGAGATAGCTATAATAATTACAATAACACTTCTATGTTTAATACGAGCCAGGCACTGTTCCAAGTGCCTTACATCTTAAACTCACTAAATCCTTACAACTCTAAGAGGTGGACACTCTCATGTTTTCTTTACAGATGAAGAAACTGAGGAACTGAGGTTTAAATGAGTTAGCTCAGTCACAGATGAAGTGGCAGCCCAAATTCGAAACTAGGCAATCAGACTCCAGGTACTGAAGTCTCAACCCCCAGGCTCTGTGCTAAGCGCTTTCCATGTTTTATCTCATTTAATCCTGTGAGGTAGACATTATTGTTACTACTCCTATTAAAAAAAGACAAAAACAACTCTCATGGACCTTCTATATTCAATGCCCTCCAGCCTTTCGTCTGCATTTATTTTCATGTTGGTCCTCACATAGTTGTCTTTATCTCATCTTGCTTCATCTTCATTTTTCTATATACTGCACATATTACTATCTGAATTTATTATTTATACTTTCTTCTGGTCTCTCATCACTAGAAGGCAGGGCTTTTGATTGTAGATTTCCCAATAACGAGAACAATGTGTGATACACAACAGGCTCTCATAAAAATTTAAATGAATGTTGCGCATTGTATTGGGTAGTTTTGTGTGCCTGTGCTTGAATAAATAGCATCATACCATACAAAATGTTCCACTTATAAAAAAAATGTAATGTCTTGGATTAAAAAAAAAATCAGTACCTAGATCCTGCTCATCCATTTTTTTTTTTTTTAAAGATTTTATTTATTTATTTGACAGAGAGATAGAAGAGCACAAGCACAGGGAGTGGCAGAGGGAGAGGGAGAAGCAGGCTCTGCACTGAGCAGGGAACCCGACGCGGGACTCGATCCCAGGACCCTGAGATCATGACCTGAGCCGAAGGCAGACGCTTAACCATCTGAGCCACCCAGGCGCCCCTGCTCATCCATTTTTTAAAGGTTTTATTTATTTGAGAGAGAGCACAAGCTGGGGGAGGCAGACTCCCCGCTGAGCAGGCAGCCACACGGGGATCACGACCTGAGCCCATAACCGGGATCTTTTTAAGACAGATAATACCCCATACTGTGGATGTAGCACCGCTTATTTAAAGTTTAACTCACATCTTTCCCAGTGTATCTCTAATGCAAACAATATGGCAATAAATATCTTAGCACATGCCTGTTTGTGCTATGGGTACACATTTCTCTAAAATTAGTGCCTAAAAGGGGAATTGCTGGCACGAGGGGTATACACATAAAAAATGTCAGCAGACAACGCCAAATTGCCCTCCCCATAAGTATTCCTGCCAGCGCTGAATTAGGGTACATAACAGGTTTTCATATACTTTGGACCAGACTGGATATTATCAGTCTTGTTATCTTTTTGCCAATCTGATGGGGGGACAGGTCCCCTAATTTACAGATGAGGAAAGAGAGGCTCAGAAAACTTTTATGGTCGGGGTGCGTGGCTAGCTCAGTCAGAAGAGCATGGGACTCTTGATCTTAGAGTGGAGCGTTCGAGCCCCACGTCTGGTGTAGAGACTACTTACTTAAACTTAAAAAAAGAAAGGAAAACTTTAGGGACTTTCCTACACAACCCGTAAATGGCTGAGTGGCGGTTCGAATTCCGACATGCCTAAGGCTAGGACGCGCCAAAGCTAGATACAGTACACTGTGTCCTCCGCTAAGTCTGGTTATCTCCGGGCCTTGTGATGCTGGCAGGCTTGCGCTCCTCTCGCCGCGAACCCTCGCCCTTCTCAACCGCCGACCCCCTCTGCCGGGCGCCGGCAAACACCGGTCCCACAGCCTCCACGGCTCCGAAATGGCGACCGTCGACAGCACGAAGCCACGCCTTCTCTCTAGGGGCGGGGCCTGAGTTCAGGCTAGAGTGAAAGATGCCCGAACCAAGTTTGAAGTCCGCAGCCAGGAGGGTTCGCGCAGAAGCAGAGAGCCGGTGGCGCCGCAGGTCGGGAGGAGGAGCACCGAGTGGAGGGCTCGTTTGCCGGGGCCGCCCGAGAGTCTCTTCGTCGCGGGCGTTGGGGCCGCCATCTTAGATGGCGGGAGTAAGACGAGGGCGAGCGTGAGACAGGAAGGCTTTCCTGCCGCTCTCCTTGGGCCCGGAAGAGGGCCAGCTGGCCCGGCTTTGGGGCGTGTGCCCCGAGGCGCGGAGCGCGAGTGCGACGATGCGGGGACTGCCTGGGGCCCCGTCCCCTGGGCTAGGGACGCGCCGAATGTGACCGCCTCCCGCTCCCTCACCCGCCGCGGGGAGGAGGAGCGGACCAGACGCCGCCGCCGGACGACGGGACACGGAGGCGGCTCGGCTCCTTCAGGTAGGCGGCAGGGCCGGCCCTGGCTGCCGGGGGATCCGGGCGGCGGGGCTGAAGGGGCAGAGTTCCCGGCGTCAGGGCCTGGGCGGCATTGATGGAGCGACTCCGCGGCTGCCGGGTGAGGGCCCGGGCCAGGCCGCTGTCACCTCGGGTGGCGCTGGGCGGGCGGGAGCCCTGGGGCCCGGTGTCATGGCCGGCCAGCCGAGTTTCCACATTCCCACTCAAATTTCCTTGTGTTTCGGGGAAACGTGCTAGCGCCACCCCTGTACTCGGTGCACATTCCTTATATTTTGGCAATGGGAAAATCTGCCCAGAATTGCCCCGTATCTATGTTGTCATTCAGGTGGATTAATTTCTTTCTGGTCGCGGAGGGGGTCCCGGTCTTGCATTTTATCTCAGAGTCCGTCACTCAAGTGACACCCTTACAGGGAGAACGAGAAGAATTGAGGACGAGAGGAGGAAGTGGGTCAGTGCCCCACCACAAAGGCATAGGGGCCTCGCCTTGGGTTTCGGGACTCTGTGGGTTACTAATGAAAGGTTTGGGATGCGTATACTGAGGTTTGGCCCTGGGATCCTTTAGAATGAAGATCCAAGGCTGTCTTTTGTGTAAAGTGAGAGCCGCCAGGACGCTTCTGTTCTGCAGCTGCAGAGGTTCTGCAGAGCTAGTCGATGCCCAGAAAGAGGAGTTTGGACATCATGAGAGGAGAGGCGGCTGTGTTCATTCATTGTTCTTTTTTCAGGGCTCTGGGTGTGCCCTCTGGTATTCATTTCTCTTGTGGGAAGAATGTTAGGATCCCCTATGTCTCCTTGAGATGTGACCAGGTTCTAGAGGGTCGTTTAATCTAAGTAGGGACGAATTCAGCTCACGTTCATGGAGTATTTCTGCCTGCTCCGTCCCCTGTGGGCTGAGCGGAGGGAACCTGCTCTTTCTTTCCACCAAGGCGTGAAAACAATGCGCTACGATAAGGATGGACTTAGCAAAGTGTTGTGGGAATTTGGAACAGCTAGTTTTGCCTGGAGGAGTTGAGGAAGCTTGAACACTGGAGGGAACTTTTGCGGCCAGTTTTGGACTGATGAGTAAGTGCTTACCCGGTGAGGAGGAGGGGAGAGCATTATAAGCTGAAGGAACCGCTGGTACAAAGGCATAGAGACATGCAGGAGTTGGGATGAATTTGGGGTGCAGGAAGGAAATGGTGAGAGATGAGGGTCTAAAAGAAAAGTTGTGAAGGATCTTTATTGGAGGGAGTGAACTAGTTGATTTAATTTGGATTATTTTAAATGAGTATTCTAATTTTTTCTTGCTGATAACTAATTTTCCCCTTGATGATGTTGAAGCTGATAGTAATTGAAAAGATTTACTGTGTTAAACCCACTTAAGAACTTTTTTTTTTTAAAGATTTTATTTATTTATTTGAGAGAGAATGAGAGACAGAGAGCATGAGAGGGGGGAGGGTCAGAGGGAGAAGCAGACCCCCTGCCGAGCAGGGAGCCCGATGCAGGGGAATCCCAGGACTCCAGGATCATGACCTGAGCCGAAGGCAGTCGCTTAACCAACTGAGCCACCCAGGCGCCCCTTAAGAACATTTTTGATAAGTGCTTTATGTCAGATGTTTTGCACTTACACAGTGGTGAATGAACTGAACTTCGTATTCCTAGGTGTTGTAAAAGATTTTTCTAAGGTTTTACTTGCTCACCAAAATGTTGACTTTATGCATGTAGTGCACGCTGCTAATACTGCATTTTAAATGGCTGTTGGCAATAAAAACCACGCTGCCCAGTCATGTAGAAATTGGGAGATTATATGAAACAGCTGAAAGTATTTTTAATTTATTAAGTGTGTTGTATATAGTAAACTTTCTTTGCATTGATTCTGTGGTTTACAATTTTGTTATAAAGTCTTTAGCTCTATAAACATAATTTACCCCAAATCGCTGTATTGTTGTGATTAATGCTTATGCTAAAGTGATTATTATGGTCTTAACGGACTTCAGCTAGCAGTTCCTGAGTTTTTCTTGGTTTATGATGGTTATATGCCACTAAAGAACATTAAGATACTTTTGGCTTGTTTTCACCCTTATCACTTCAAGGGCTAAGCTGTTTAAAATGCAACAGAAACATTTGACCCAGTTGAACACTGGATACTTGGGAAAATAAACCTGCTAGTGTTTCTGATGGAAAAGCTTATCTTTTAGGTATGTGGTGTTTGTGATTAAAAATTATAGTGGGGTTGCTTAGCCTTTTTAAAACTTTTGTCAGTATTTGAAAAGTGTAAGCCTTCAAAGTAGAAGGTTTGAGTGAAATACATTAGAACATATTTTAAGGGATTTGGGTTAGCAGAAGAAAACAGGGAAACAGATTAAGCTGGTCATTTGTGATGAAAAGGAGCTAAAAGATGAAATGGAGAATGATTAAACATCAAGTATTGTATTACAAGTGCTCTGAAACTAGTTGTGTTTAGTTTAAAACATGCCATTTGTGAAATCCAGAGTAGGTGGTTTGCTCTGAAGATTAAACAACAACTTCTTGGAAGTTAAATTTGAGTTTTCCAGAAGTACTAGGTTACTTATTAAATGGAAAATACAATTAATAACTTTAAATTTCTGTTTCAAGTCGTTTGTTAGTAGTAGATGTATGATTCTACTACATTTTAATTTCACATAAAACTTTGTTAGTAACCTGCCTAAAAATAGAAAAATGTTACATGAGGGAATGCTTTTGTTTGCATGTTAGGAACATAATAGGCCATACATAATAATCCTGGTCTTGGGAGGAGCTTGTTAGCCAAACAGCATGCCTTAATGTTGACTTGCAGAAGAGAATTTTAAATATTGCTTTTGAAAGGCAGTGGACTGTGTGACAGTAGGGGTTTTATGAAACCACAAAATCGAGCTTGCAAAGGTTTTTTGTTTTTCAAATTGTACAGGTCATGGAAGTCATTTCTTAAAACTGTAGTTGGAAAATTGCTCACCTTGACTAAATTAATTGGCAAACCAAGGAACACTGGGTTTATTTACGATGAGGTTGTGTAGAGTTAGAAGTTGTCATATTGTGTGTGTGTGTGTGTATGTGTATGGATGGTTAAGAATTCCTATTTGCTAAATTGACTAGTGCTAAATGTAACACTAGATGTTTGTGTTACAGTTTAGTTAGTATTTCCGGTATAGGGCTAAACTACCTTGCCTATCATCTTCATGATAGTAATGGTTGGGTATTTTATTCTTGCCTTAAAAGTGGAGTAAAAATTTGGGGTGCCTGGGTGGCCCAGTTGTTAAGCGTCTGCCTTAGGCTCAGGTCCCAGGGTCCTGGGATCGAGCCCCCCATTGGGCTCCAGTCCCCCATTGGGCTCCCTGCTCAGCGGGAAGCCTGCTTCTCCCTCTCCCATTCCCCCTGCTTGTATTCCTTCTCGCACTGTCTCTCTCTCTGTCAAATAAATAAATTCATAAAAAAATTTTTTTTGAAAATGGAGTAAAAATTCCTTAATTTTCTATTAAAGTTTTCATCTTTCATTTTACAGTGGCTGAATCATTTTGTTCCTCCATTTCTCCCGGAATACTTGTGTAGCTCTCAATGATTTTCCTGGTTAACTTCAGAGCTTTTAGCCTTTCTTCTAAAATTGCTCCTAAAATCTCAGTTTTTAACCAAGGAAAATGTCAAGTGGGTGTTGTTTCTTTGTTACTGGTTTTGGCCCAGGCTATCTCAAGTCTCTTTGGCAAATCACTCACAAAGTGTGTTAATTGCTTCACATTCCAATCAGTGTACATAGTTTTTCTTGAGGAACACTTGATACATAGTTTTATTTTTAGACCAGATTCTAAGGGAGTTTATGGGGTGGGGATTAACAATCCTAAAGCTAGTTTCAAATTTTAAAATCTTTGTGATTTTGAGATTGTTGGTATTTTTGGTTAATGAATGGAAAGCAGCAGGCAATGACAATCAATGTTTTAGGGGTCCCAGTATGTTTAAATGCTGGTGAGGACCTTGTGGATTTTACTGGTGTCCTCTTCCTCCTCTTTCTACCTGTTGGATTCCATTGATTGTCATATAATAACAAGCATAAGCACATTTTTACTGTTGGAATCAAGATCTTCTATTTATTTTCTACAATCCTGCTATGGAAAACAAAAGTGGTCTTAACTTCTTTGAAGCTACTTAATACTAGGCATCACATTTGGACAGTGTTTACTTTTTTTCATCCATGTACATTTCTGATGGAAGAGTCAGGCTAGTTATTGTTTAACTGTGTTAATATGTCTTTAAAATTGAGTTTTCATTCCTTTTTCCTTTCCTTTCCTTTTCTTTTTTTTTAAGTAATCTCTACACCCAACGTGGGGCTCGAATTTACAACCTGGAGATCAAGAGTCGCGTGCTCTACCGACTGAGCCAGCCAGGTCTTAATCTAGGTATTTCTGAGGGATCCTTTTCAACCACGGATAGCTTTTAACATCTGTCCATTACCTGGGTTTGGGATAGATGAAATCCTGCATTTTCCCTGGAAGAATATGACTTTTGTTCTCTGTGGCAAATCTCATTAGGAAGCTCAGAGTTTCTTTTTCTTTTTTCTTTTTTTAATAAAAGATTTATTTATTTGACAGAGAAAGACACAGTGAGAGAGGGAACACAAGCAGGGGGAGTGGGAGAGGGAGAAGCAGGCTTCCAGCTGAGCAGGGAGCCCGATGTGGGGCTCAATTGGGATTATGACCTGGGCCGAAGGCAGACGCTTAACGACTGAGGCACCCAGGCGCCCCGGAAGCTCAGAGTTTCTATGAGGGGCATTTCTCTGGATCCAGAAGATCATTCAGAAAGGAGCTATCATTTGCATTTAAGAGAATTTGTTTACAATAGAAAAGACTGGAAAGAGTTCAAATGTCCAACAATAGTGAAATGATTAAGTAAATGGTGGTACAGCTACTTGATGGGGCACTGTACTTGTCATTAAATACGGATTATATGAAGCATTGATGACATGGAAAATGCTGAACACAAAATTATGTATCTGGAATGATTACAGTTGTATAAAAAATACAGTGGAATATTGTTCAGTAATAAAAAGAAATGGTGTACTGATATATTCTCCAACATATATAAACCTTGCAAACATTATATTAAATGAAAGAAGCCAGTCATAAAAGACCACATATTGTATGATTCCATTTGTATGAAATGTCCAGAATAAGCTAGTCCACAGAGACCGAATGTAGGTTAGTGGTTGCCAGGAGCTGTGGAGGGAGTGGGGAATGGGTAGCGACTGTGATAGGGGTTTTTTTGGGGAGTGATGAAAATGTTCTCAAATTGATTGTGGAGATGGATTCGCAACTCTGAATATAATAAAAATCATTGAATTGCACACTTCCAGTGGGTGAGTTGTATGGTATGTGAATTATATCTCAGGCTGTTTAAAAAAATCTCAAAACCTACTCATAGGACTAAAATACATGTAGATGTTAACAGTGGTTGTTAAACAGTAGAAATAAGGATAATGTTCTTTGTACTGTCTGTAGTCTCTGAATGTGTTGCTTTTATAATAGAAAAATGCATTTAAGAAAGTTAATTAATTGTATTCATGGTGTGGATCTTTGTTACCCCAAACATTCAGTAGCTGTTAGATTCCATTGACAACTATATTTTTGAGCTTCTTTCAGCCTTTTTCTTTTTTCTCCAGATTGTCAGGCTTTTCTTACTATTTGCCTTGACTATTGTTAGAACCTCTGGAGTGAACTCTTTTTTCTTATTTCTTCCCATGGCTGTGTTTTCTCCACACTGCTGTCAGATTCACTCTTACTGTGCGGATTCTTAAAAATTAAATTTTATTAATTTTTTTTGAATAGATAATAGTTTCACATGCCACAAAATTCACATGATACAGAAATTTAAGAAGAGTAAAGTTGTGCAGAGTAATTCTACCTCCCCCTTTGTTTCCCAGCTACCCAGCTTTCTTTCAGGGAGGGAAATAATGGGGTTTTTATGTATCTTTTTTTTAAGATTTTATTTATTTGACAGAGAGTGTGTGAGCACACAAGCAGAGGGAGCTAGAGGGAGAGGGAGAAGTAGGCTCCCTGCTGAGCAGAGAGCCCAGCATGGGGTTCAATCCCAGGGGATCAGGACCTGAGCTGAAGGCAGACCTGAGCTGAAGGCAGACCTGAGCTAAAGGCAAACCCTGAACCGACTGAGCCACCCAGGCGCTCTTTATCCTATTTTGGGGTGTTAGCAAGAATATTCAAATGTAGATGTACTGGCCTTACTTCTGTTCGCAAATCTTCCAAGAGTCTCCATTGCTTATCAGACTAAACATACTTCTTGCTTAATGTAGATTCCTCATACTATCTTTGGTGGAATGCAAAGGCTTCCCCCCCCCCCCCCCCTTTTTAAGCACTTATGTAGGTGCGGGCGGGCTAGTGTGCTTAGTGCAGGGTGAATGAGGCAAGTTCCTGCCTTCAGCTACCTTATCTAATGAGGAGAGATTGACACAATTTCCTCACTTTTATCTGTTCCTCTTTTACGAGCCATTTTGAACACCATCTTCTAAATATCATTTCCTGATCTTTTTTTCCTGTTCTCACTCATTATTTTGTTTCCTTCCTTGAGCCCCACCTTTAAACTTTGCATTTATTTTTCTTATGGCCTTTATCATGTAATCATTTCTGAGTTTACTATCCCATTAGATCATAAACTGAAATTAATGCTTCCTACTCTGTATGCAGTTCCTTATTTATTGATATTTGTAAAAAACTTTGAGAGGCTGAGGGACCATGTTTGTGTGCTTCAGTGAAAGTGTTGAGTCTACATTCCAACACTTAATACTAGGTTTTATAAGACCTTCTATTTAAACTTAAATGATTTCTTTTTTTTTGTACTATGCACTATAGATTTTATATGTATGTATTGTGACATATATGAAAGTATTTGTTTACTTCTTTCCTTAGAAGAGTGTACCTTAATCACCTTTGACTACCCAGAGTTTAGCATAATGGCTGATACCTGAATGCAGCCAATTTGTTGAGTGTAAGGTGCTAAGTAGTGTTAATTGAATTGAATTTTTTGTATAGATATCCTACAACTCTGGCTAGACTTAACTTCCTTAAAGGTGGGGCATATCTTACTCTTGTTTATAAATCTCCAGTTCTTAAAACTTTGTCTTGATTATGTAACGAACATTAACTGAATGAGTGGAGATTCGGAGGTTAATCACCTGTGGACTTAGTTCCTTCCTGCTGTCCATCACAAACACACAAATGCTTACTATTAAGAGGATATACTTACTAAACTCAAACTCAGAATTTTGTAACTTAGGATATCTGTTGAAGGAGTCATCTTGCTTATTATCCTCTCCCTCTATGGGGCATTATTTGTAGATTGCTCTGGGTTCTCACTGCCAGCTCCATGAGGACGTTTGCCTGCTTTAGCAGCTCCCTGATTCACTGGCCCAAGCACTCTTGTCATGCTGGCTATTTCCTTCTGTGTTCATAGGCTTTATACATGGAAGAGAATTTTAACCAGAGAGAATGTGAGGGGGTACGTGATATTCCACCTTCCTTCATGTTAGTCTGGACTGGAATTAGAGTGCAATTGTGAATTGTGAGAGTAGAGATCATGCATGACCTTCATGACTCATATTTAGCTGACAGTGTGAAATGGGCCCCTTAGGCTTTTTTGGAGGAGGACAGGTAAGCTATACATAAAATTTACCATTTTAACATATTTGAGTGTACTATTCAGTGGCATTAAGTACATTCACAGCATTGTGCAACCATCACCAATACCTATTTCCAGAACATTTCCATCATCCCAAACAGAACCTGTACCTATTAAACAAAACTCGCCATTCCTTTCTATTTATCTTTGGTAAATTCTACTTTCTCTCTATGAATTCACTCATTCCAAGTACCTCATATAAGGGAAAATCATGCAGAATTTGTGATATTGCATCTGGTTTATTTTACTTAATGTTTTTCCAAGGCCCATCCTTATTGTACCATGTATCAAAATTTCATTCCTTTTTATGGATGAATAATATTCCTGTGGGTGTGGGTGTGTGTAAGGTATTTTGTTTATCCATTCATCTGTTGATGGATTCTTGGGTTGTTTCCACCTTTTGGCTGTTGTGAATAATGCTGCTATGAATATTCGTTTACGAGTATCTGTTTGAGTCTCTGCTTTCAATTCTTTTGAGTGTGTGCCTAGGAGTGGAATTGCTGGATCATTTGGTAATTTGGTTTTAACTTTTTGAAGAACTGCCAAACTGTTTTACACAGAAACTGCACCATTTTACATTTCCACCAGCAATACATGAGGGTTCCAATTTCTTTACATCCTTGTCAACGCTTGTTACTTTCCTTTTTTTTTTTTTTTTAAATAATAACTATCCTAATGGATGTGAAGTGGTGCTAGGCTTTTTTCTTACTGCTAATTAAATCTAATGAGCAAACAAACTTAGAAGTTGGCTATATTTGCAGCTGATGGATTTTTTTCACCCTTATAAATGTATTTGTACATAATGCTCTTCAAAGAGGTATCACACAACTAATGACTCATCTTTTTTGAAAAGAATAAACTTTTTTGAGAAGCATGTAGTTGGTGTAGTTTCTTTATGCCCTATATCCTTTTACCCTAAAGTGTATTCTGTCAACTAGTGAAAGATGATTTCAGTTAATCCTGTGAGATAGGATCTATTAAGTGAAAAAAGTAGAGTACAAAAATTAATACACAAAGATCTCATCTTTATAAAGAAAAATATTTACAAGTGTATATATATATTTTTAAAGATTTTATTATTTATTTGACAGAGAGAGAGTACAAGTAGGCAGGGAGGCAGGCAGAGGGAGAGGGAGAAGCAGGCTCTCCGCTGAGCAGGGAGCCTGATGTGGGGCTTGATCCCAGAACCCTGGGATCATGACCTGAGCCGAAGGCAGATGCTTAACTGACTGAGCCACCCAGGCGCCCCTACAAGTGTATATTTATGCATAGAAAAGATTAGATACATATATCCACGAATGTCGGCAAGGGCCATCTATAGGTTATTATCTTTTGTATTATTCAGACCGCTCCCATGAACATGTATTCTGTAATTAGTGTTTTTTGTTTTTTTTAAAGATTTTTTAGAGCACTTGTGCATGAGCACGGGGGATGGGGTGGGGTGGGACAGAGGGAGAGAATCCTGAAGCAGACCCCTTGCTGAGTGTGGAGCCCCACATGGATCTCAATCCCAGGACCCTGAAATCATGACCTGAGCCAAAATCAAGAGTTGGTTGCTTTAATGGACTGAGCCATTGAGGTGCCCCTGTAATTATTGGAACATATAAATTATTACAAAAAACCTATGTATGCATGTGCATATGACATCTGTATGGGATTATAAGCATGGAGAAAATACCAAAAAGGTAATAGGAGGTTAACATAGGTTACT